GCTGCAGGTCTGCTGGACAGCCCTATGATCCCTTCCCTCTCCCCCCACAAAAAATAGTAATACCAATGCTGCTGTATTTCTGTTTACCTTACTCTGATGGTATGGCCTTTTGGAAAGTACCAGCTTAATAGGTGAGGGTCTCCTTTCTTTACCTAGAGAAAACCCTGGACTTTTTGTCCCTGTCTGCTTTGAAGGCAGTTAAAGTTTGCCCCAGTCGGCAATTCTGTTTACTCGTTATTTTTATGTGTTCTTGATTTTCCTTGTATTTTGACCTGGCAATTTATTACTATCAGAATCTAGAGTCTTTAGAATATAAGTGAAGTAGAGGACAAAGAAGTGTCAACAGCTATAAAGGGTCTGTTAAAAACCTAAATGTACAGAGAAACACCAGAAATTACTGTATCAGAATGTATTTATTGTGGGTAGATAGGATTTGAATCAGGCAGCATCATATTGAAAGTATCCGACAGGCGGGAAGGTGCTCTGAAGAGGGGATAGAGAAAGCAGGTTATATAGGTGGGGTCTGGGCAAGGTAGTCTCCTGAAGGTCATCATAAATTCCTTTCTTGTTGGTTTCTCAGGAGATACAGTCAGAGCATGTGCAGGGTTTCAGGATCAGTCAGTTGTAAAAACACAGTCATTAAGGACATGCCATATATCCTGAAACACAGCTTCCAGTCAGACCCTGGAGTTGCTGTTCTCAAACCAACTGCACATAGATAATTCTTCAAAAGAGCCCAATGCCTAAGGCAAAATGGTCTCCATTAAGCTGCTTTTATTAGGCTATTGTTTGACTTGAAGGTGACTTTGGGAAAACCAGTTCCTTAAAGGCTCAAGGTTCAAAAAGATACCTAAGGACAAATGGCCTGGGTGTGTCACCCCAATTCCATGGACCCCAGAAATCTGGATTCCAGGAAAATTAAAACGGTTTCTCAGTTCTGAGATTTTACCCTTCTTGCAAGCTTGCCTGAGTTTCATGGATGTTGGCAGAAGATATGAAACTCTTGGGTCAGAGACAAAGGACTTTTTTACTCAAGGCACAGCAGGCAGCATGAGCTTCATGTTTACATCAGTTCCCTTTGCTCTGTAAGTCCCATGGGGGTGATGCAGATTGGATTCTGCACATGCGGTGGGTTTGCATCATTGCTGACGAACCCCAAGCTTAGGAAACTCCAGTCTTTAAAGGGAGCTGCTAACAAACCTGCCCATCTTTTGCCCTGAAGGGAGACATTATTTTTATTATTCTGGACAGCAAAAAAATCTGCCCTGTGTCCTGAAAGGAGATACTATCTTTGTCTGACAAAGCTAATTCAGTATACAAACATCCTTTAAAAGTTGTCAGTGCCTCTGCTTCAAAGACATGTAGATGTAGAGACCCATGAAGAAGGTTGTAACAGTTTATCTCCACTTTGTCCTACCTTCTTCTTATCTCCACAACATTTTTTTCCTAGATGACAAAATACTAGATGCTTTTGTTCTTTTGCTTTTGCCACAATATCCCTTGTCTTTCCACACATCTCCGTACACACTTTCATACTTTTTTTTTTTTGGTGTGAAATTTGCTTTTTAGTTAGGCTTTTAAGAGCAAATTAATGTTGGTCTGTATTGGAACAGTATATTTGAAACTTTTTATTTTGTGTCTTTGTGATTGGCTCTGAGGGCAGTAACTGTCATTTTGTTTTTATCTCTTTTTTTTTTTTATTTTGAAAGTCTAGCATAGTACCTGGCACATACCTGTTAAATCAAAACTCTCTGTCCTGATACTAAAAATATAATATTGCCTAGATTTGCTTGTTTCAATGTGTTGAATTCACAGACATAAGATTTCTTATTTGAAAATTAGAGCATTGGCTGGAACAAGATGGGCTGTCAGCAGTTGGAATGGCCCTGTCAAAACTTGGAGCAGAAGACATTTCCCTTAGCCATGCTGGCCTGAGGAAGCTAGGAAAGTCAACATCATCTCCTGTGCCCCACCCCTATTGTTGTCAGATGTCCTGAAGTGATACCCGTTATATTATACCAATCCCAACTCATAGCAGCCCTATAGGACAGAGTAGAACTGCCCCATAGGGTTTCCAAGGAGTGGCTGGTGGATTTGAACTGCCGAGCTTTTAACCACTGTGCCACCAGGGCTCTGTCCTGAAGTGAGGAAATGTAAAATTAAAATTGGAGAGATAAAAGATATACCCAGAAGCAATTGTGTATTCACCGAGTTATACTGTCCAGAATCAAGAGACTGTTTCGTTAATTCACTAAACAATGATTTATTTAGCATCAGTATGCCAGTTGGGTTAAGACCCTAGCTGGGAATACAGTGTGGAGCACAAAGAGCAAATTTCTCTCCCTCATGGCACTTGCTACCTAGTGGTGACTAGAGGAGACAAGACATGGGCCAGATATTCACCCAGCTGTAAAACTACATGCCTGAGAAGTCCTACAAAGGATAGAAGATAGACCTTTGAGAGCCTGTAACAGGGGATTCAACCAATCAAGGACAGGACAGCTTCACTGCGGAAGTGCCCTTGAGTTGAGATCTGAAGGATGACCAGGCGTTAACTTTCCAGGAAGGAAGGGAGAATTTTCTAGGCATGTGAGGAAATATCCGATGCCAATACTTTGTGGTGGGAGGGAGCATGAGAAGTAGAAGGGGCTGTCAAACTCTACTATGGGCAGAACTAGGCGTTCATGGTTTGAGATTCTGTGCAGAACTTTGTAGACCATTCAAGAAGTTTCTCCTTGTTGTTGTTTTTTAATTATTTACTGTTTTTTGTTTAGTTTTTAAATAAAAAATATTAGATTTAATAACAATAGTGTTTTCATTATATTTATTTTTATAGTTACCATATAATTATGGCAAGTGGTACCAGTTTCTATTTATCCTAATAAAGTTTTCTTTTTAAGTATATTTGAGTTTTTAAAAGGAGATACTTTAAAGGAAAATAATAAGTAAATACTTGTATGGGAGATACATGTATATGGCGTTCTCCTGAAAGCATACTATTGAGTGTGAATTCTCTACTCCAGTCAGTTCTAATTATTTACCAGTGTAACTCCTAACTGTCAAGGATCATTTGAATCCTTTGAGGCTTAGGAAGAGTGACATTTTTGAGGAAGTAGAGTATAGACTTAACTATGGAAAAAAAATGAAAATCACAGAATTACAGTTAAATGTATCTTTACATTAAATAGATGGACTGGAAGATGTGAAGACTTTGTTCATATAATTTTTCATTTGTATTTTGACTTAATGGCTCCAGTTTCTTAAGAACTTAGCAGCTATCATGGGCTTAAGGGTTTGCCAGAGTTGATCTGTAGTAATTAACAAATCATTATTCCATATAATGTCAAAAACAGTCTTCACCCTCTTTTTCTTTGAAATGAAAAAGCAAAACATATACGTGATGTGTGGGAAACAAACTGAAAACATACTGAGGGAGAGGATGTAAAAACTTGATTGGCACCAGTAGGAATAAGATGTCTTGGAAAGAGCACTGGACTCGGAAGCCAGACAGGACCGGACACTTCTTATGTGTTTACTATTGTGCTGAGTACTTTTCAAAAAACTTATTATGGAAATTTTTAAACATTCTCAGAGTAATTGAATATTAGGTGGAATCATCATGGTTCCCATCACCCAGTTTCAACAATTATTAACTCATGGCTTCTTGTGCTCTCCTTCTGTCACCAACTGGATTATGTTGAAGCAAAGCCTAGATATCATTTCAGCCTTAAATATTTCAATATGTATCTCTAAATTATAAGGACTACTTTAAAGAATTCTGTCTTAGTTAACTAGTGCTGCTTTAACAGAAACACCACAAGTGGATGGCTTCCACAAAGAGAAATTTATTCTCTCACAGTCTAGTAGGCTAGAAGTTCGAATTCAGGGCACCAGCTCCAGGGGAAGGCTTTCTCCCTCTGTTGGCTCTGGGAGAAGGTCCTTGTCATCAATCTTCCCTAGTCAAAGAGCTTCTCAGCACAGTGACCCCGAGTCCAACGGGCGTCCTATTCTCCTGGTTCTTGTGTCTTGGTGGCATGAAGTCCCCCTGTCTCTCTTCTTCTCTCTTTTATATCCCAGAAGAGATTGACTTAAGCCCTGGTGGCTCAGTGGCTATGCACTGCGGCTGCTAACCAAAAGGTTGGCAGTTCGAATCTACCAGCCACTCCTTGGAAACCATATGGAGCAGTTCTACTCTGCCCTATAGGGTTGCTGTGGGACTTGACGGCAACAGGTTTGGGTTTTTTTGTTTGTTTGTTTCAAAGAACATAACCATAATACTATTATCACACCTAGAAATGATTCCTTAATATTATCACGTATCTATTCAGTTTAAAATTTTCCTGATGTCATTTATATTATGTGTGTGAACGTGTGCATACACACCCTTTTTTTTAACAGTTTGTTGAATCAGGACCCAAATAAGAATCATATATGTAGATTCCTTCGCCCCATGGTTGGTTTTTAGCATATTACTCATTTAACTTAAAAACAATAGTATTGTTTTTTTTTAAAGGAGGAAACTGAGTCCTTGAGAGGTTAAATAATTTGCTTAGCATCACACAGCCAGTGAGTCCTTTTAGCTGAAAATCAGCCCAGGCCTGTCTGACTCCAAAGCCTGTGTGCCTTTTTGGAGTTAGAAGACTTTGGATTCAAACTCTGGCTAAACAGACTTCTTTTCCCATACCACTCTACTTGTTTCCCCCCTGAACCCAAGTGTTTACAGTCCTGGGTAACCTAATTAGGTAGTTAAGGATTATGCAAATTTCTGTCCCACTCGCTTACGTTAGAGGAAGTTTGACCTTGTTACCACACAGAGTGGGAGGAAATTGGGAAATTGGGGCTTTAGTCCTATAGCTCCCAAGTTTAACCAGAGCAGCTCCAGAAAAATCTTTTTCTTTTCACCTCGTCCATCATTTCCTAAGAGGGGTCTGGAGATCGGGACCATAGTACACCAGTAGCTTTTACACATCTAAAGATCTAGAACTGCACTGTCCAATATGGTAGCCACTAGCCACATGAATACTTCAATTTTGATTAAAATTAAATAAAATTATAGTGAGTCCCTCAGTCACACTAGCTACATTTCAAGTGCTCAGTGTTCACATGTGGCTAGTGGCTGCCATATTGGATAGTGCAGTTATAGAACATTTCTGTCATTGCAGAAAGTTCTGTCAGCACCGAAAAGTAATGGGTGGAGGCAATCATCAGTGGTTTTAACCTCAGGTTAAAACTGGGGGACCGGCTCCTTCTTCTTCTCTCTTGAGAGCTCTCTCAGGATTTAGATTATCAGGCTTGAGAGTGGGATGTGAAGACATCAGACTTTGAGACCCTGAGTAATGACCATTCTGTGAGGTTAGAAGAACAGTAATAATAAGGAGGAAGGGACTACTACTAGCTAAAATAAAATCTGGTGCCTCTTTCCCTTTTACCTGTCAGGCCCACAGTCAGCACTAAATCACTTGGATTGCCATAAAAGTATATTAATTTCATCATAAATTTGTCCATCCTCAATATTCTCACCATTGGCTTCAGCTGGGGTCTGAAAGATGAAGGGACCTTCCAATTATTTTCTCTGAGTATAATGGTAACTGTAGCGATGGACTCTTTAAAGATTTGTGAGTTGTCTCTATTCTTAAATTTTGGTATTCATATGTTTGGGTATTAGAATACCTGGATAAAATTTTATATGCAAAATTTTATGACCCTTGGCATTTTAGGGGATGATGAGACTGGATTCTAATCGGGTCTTGGGAAAGGGAAGAGAACCTTTAGTGAAAAGGAAGGAAGGCAGTGTTCTTGGGACCTAATGCAAAGAAAGAAAAAGGGGAGAATTCAGGAAGGTGACATTCAGGGCCGAGAAGCAGTCTGGATTTTATTTTGTGATTTAAATCCAGGATGAATGGTATGAATCAGAGTAGTCCAAAGGAAGGCAAGATCTGTGTTAACTGAAAATATCAGAGAAAACTTGGAAGAGGTAGAACCTGAGCTGAACCTTGAAGGATGATGGGTGGATGCTCCTTGGTTTAGCATGTTTTTTGTTGTATTTCCATGAAACCTCATCTGATTTCCACAGAAATAAACTGTAATTTCATGATGCAATTATTTGCTTGAAATATTTTATTTTTCTTTTAAACACATTGCCCAAAGTTGGTATTTCTCTCGCATTTGAACTCTGGATTTCTTGATTGGTTTTCAACCAAATCTCTTCAAAATAACATGTTCTAAAGAGCTTCCATGTTTCACCAAATCAGTTCCTCTGTCTAAAATACCTTCTAGCCCTCAGGGAATTGTTTATCCTTCAGGACCAGCTGAATTAACACCCCTTCTTTGCTGCCACAGTACAGTACTTTCTTCTTTTCCTCCATCACAGCTCTTACTCTGTTCATGGTAATTAATTTGTATTCTCAACCCCTAGTTCAGTCTCTGTTCCCTAGAGAGTACTTAATGTTTGGTGAATAGATGTGATTAAATATAATCAGTTCTGAAATGTGTTTTTTAGTGTTAAGAACTCAGCTATTTTATGTGCATAGGTGCAATATATATTTTGTTAATTGAATTTTTATTTGTTCTTAGATGTCACTAAGAGGATCTGCGCCAGTGACAATTGTACCTCTTCCTGGAGAGCAAGTACAGGTTCAGGGGGTCATCCAGACAGCTCAGTCTTCTGTAATTCACCCACCACACGTGCAAACGGTACAGAAATTCGAAGACTTAGTGGTCAAGAGTGGGGACTTTTATACCCCAAGTCTTCGGACACATTGAAATTGCCGTAGTTATGATATTATAAACCAAGATAACAAAGTTGTCTTAGAAATTAAAGAACAAATGAGGTAAATAGGAAAGTTTAAAAATTTTCTAGTTTCATATATATACTACCTAGTGAAAGTAGAAGACAATTTTGGGGGAAGTTACTGCTTAGAATTTAAGAGAATGAAAGACTTTTTTAAGGGAAACAACCTTTTTGTCCTAGTGGTATCCTTCATGAAAAGGAGAACTCTGAAGTGCAGGTGTAATGATGTTTGAGTCTTAGAGAAGTAAAATAGTACCTACCTTTTGCTTTATGGAGGTCAAATAAAATTCTCTCACTGTAGAGGAAAGTTCTCATTTTTATTTCTACACTTTCATATTAACACCTGCCAACAGTAGGAAGAAAGAGCCGTGCTGGGTTTCTTTTCTTCCTACTCCCCATTTTATCTTCTACCTCCGATGAATCCCAGAATGGCTTTGGTCATTTCTGATTTTTAGAAGCAGCCATCCTGGAAGAAAAACTGTTTGCTTCATTGTTTCCTCTTGAATATATCATGACTGACAGTGTTGTCAACTCTAGAGCTGCATCTAGCTGTTTTACTCTAGCTAAGATTTTACTCTTATTTGCTGGTTCTGTCATTAAAGAGAAATATTTGATCTTAGTTCCAAGTAATCCCTTAGTTTTAGAAATTATTTTCTTACTTGAGTGCAGTGGGAGGCCTTGGAGTAGATTTAGGGACAACAATAAAAATAGTTAAAGGTTTACGTTAGAAATGGAATATCCAGGGCCCTTGAGGAAAAGATAGAAGTGACAGATTTTTCTTAATTATTGTTAGTTATTGTTAGGTAGTGACCAGTTACTTCTTTTCTGTCAAAAGATATAGACTGTATATGGTAAGGTATAAATGAGTAGTTGTACATTAGTACTCACTTTTGAAGGAGATTATAGACTGTAAAACAAGCTTCTCTGGAAATTTAAGGTCTGAGCCTAAATAGGTTAGGGAAGTAGACAGTGACTAAATGTAGATAATTGATTTCGTATGTCCCTTCTAGAAGCCTGTTGGGTTATTTTATTTTTTTAGATAAAGATGAAGCTAGGTATCACAATCCAGCTTTGGACAAATGTTGGGAAATTTAATACATTTTAAATATTGAAAATAACTTTTTTCTCAGTTGTAAAATATTGCTATAGCTTAAAACTTGCATATAGTTACGTTGACATAGCTCTGAAGGGTTTATTGTTATTAATAGTTAATATTTATTGTATATTTACCATAGGCCAGATACCAAGTGCTTTAGGTTTCAACTCATTTAATTGTGAAATGAGATAAAGCTAATTACTACAAGTTTTAAAATTGTGTATGTTTATACCTGCCCTTGCCAGTAACTTCACCTTGTTAAATCTGATTGTCTTAATTTTTGTTTATTTGTTAGTAGCATTTGACATAGTTCATCACTCCTTTCTCCTCAGTACACCATCTCCACTAGTTTTCCAGGACACCTCATTTGATGTTCCTTCTCGTTCTCTAGTGGCTCCTTCTCAGTCTCGTTTGCTGGTTGCTACACTTCTCCTCAACCTCTTAATGTTAGCATGTTTCTGGGTCAGTTCTTGGTTTTCTTCTCTATCTGTATTTACTCCCTTAGTCTGATGGCTTTAAGGACTATCTAAAAAGTTACAACTCCCAAATTTATACATCTAGTCTAGACTGCTTCACCTGAACCTCCTCAGGCTTGTATATCTAGCTGTCTCCTCAGTGTCTCCTCAGTGTTGGATATCTTATAGACATTTCAAACTTAGCGTGTCCAAAATCCAAATCAGATATCATTAATGACCAAAGGCTTTGAGTAATGTGCATCAGTGTAGAAATAGGATGGAGATCAGATACTGGTCTTTATAATTCTAGTGGAATTGTATTGCTTTATTTTGGGGATAGACTTTCTTACTAGTTCTGGGCCTGCTGTGTTGTATTTCCTCTAATTAGTCTGGGCTCCTGGAATAAACTTTCTCCATTTCTGTTCCTTTTTTTAGGTCCTAGTATTAATAACCTTAGAGTTAATGTGCAAATGAATTTGGGTGGCAGGAGACAGATAATTGTTTCTGAAACTAAAAATTTTGTTCAATTCTTTTTCCACCTGCATTGTTCATCATAGTAAAACCAGTTGTGTTTTTCAGGCATCATCCTTATCAGAAAGTGAGGAATCTCAGGACTCATCTGACAGCATAGGCCCCTCACAGAAAGCCCACGGGATCCTAGCACGGCGCCCATCTTACAGGTGAGTACTCTTTCCTGTCAAATCCTGCATGTGCTATGTTACTAAATGATTTAGATGATATGAAAAGCACAACATATACAGTCAGCATATGTTAAGGAAAAATTAACCAATCCTTGACTTGAATGAGAGATTCTAACACACCTCTCTCAGTAATTGATAAACTAAGCTGTCAAGAAAAAGGATATAAAAGATTTGACCAACATATTTAGCAAACTTAATCTACTAGACAAATATAGAACACTATGCCCAAACATTGGAGATCTACTGTATTTTTACACAAATAACGTACGCCTTCTACATTCTGTTTGCCGACAACTCCCCCCCACCCCACCCCGTGAGGTATTTGTATAAGCATGCTATGCTAATTTTTTCTGACAGCAACATGTACAAAAAATTGGCTTAGCGGGGCTTCTGAAAGTACCTTGCAGGGGGAGGGAGCCATCAGCAAACAAATGTAGAAGACCTGCACTATTTGCATGAAAATATAGTAATACCAATTTTTTTTCAAGTACATATGACCATTTACAAAATTTACCACATACTAGGCCATAAAGCAAGTGTATCATTTCTAGAGTTGACATTAAACAGAATAAGTATCCTGACCACAGTGCAGTTAAGTTAGAAATCAATAAAAGAGATAACCTTGAAGGGGAAAAAAAAGCTTAACTGAAAAATAATTTTAGAAATTTCTGAAATTATGTATGAGTTAAAGAAGAAATAATAAAAAATAGAAAATATTTAGAACTGCGTGACAGTGAAATGTTACATTCAAAACTTGTAGGGTTCAGCCAAAGTGCTACTTTATCTTTATGTTGGAAAGAGCAAAAGTTAGAAATTAATCAGTTAATTATTTAACACAAGTCAGAAAAAGAAACAAACAAAAGTAAAAGGAAGGAAATAATAAAGAGCAGAAATTATTGAAATAGATAATAAAAAGAGAGAAAGTATCAACAAAATCAAAAGCTGATTCTTTGAAAACTCTAACTCAGTGTTTTATTTATTTATTTAGCAGATACTTAACCCATCATCCCTTGGTATCTGCGGGGGATTGGTTCCAGGACTCCCTGCAGATACCAAAATCAGCAGATGCTTAATTAATTCCCTTATATAAAATGATGTAGTATTTGCACATCCTCCCTTATACTTTAAATCATCTCTAGATTACTTATAATACACCTACTACAATATAAATGCTATGTAAAGAGTTATTTCATCACAGTTGAAGACTTGCTCTGGAAGGTAGCCTTTCTGTTCTGTGGTTTCTTGAGTTCTTCTGGGAACTTTGATACCGCTGTGACATAAGCCAATGCCTGTTTTCCTGTCATCTTTAAGTTTTTGAGGCTATAGTGCTTTATATAGCTAGCCAGCCATCCCTTACTAGTCTTAAATTCCTTTCTCTCGCTCTCCTCAACCCTCTCACATTTAGCCTTTGAGGGATTGCTTTGATTATTTAATTGCTTTTTGGGAGCCATTTTTTCACAAAAACAAAGGGTGCACAAACACAAGTAGTGAATGAATGAGATGCAAAGTGAGTAATGCTCAAGCAGTGAGTGCTGGAGAGACTGAGGATCTGTGAAATGGCAGGAGGCAATAGCAGAGTACACTTACACAGCACTTCATTTGTGTGGATTCAGCACAGTGCTCAGCATGCAGCAAATTCAAGTTTTGCTTTTTGGAACTTTCTTTTTTGTTATGTCCCGAATATTTTCAATCCATGGTTTGTCGAATCCACAGATACGGAACACCCAGATACAGAGGGCCAACTCTTTAGCACTGTTCTGAGTGCTTTGCAAATACTAGCTTATGTAATCCTAGCGACCCTTTGAGATAGGAACTATTACTAATACATCCCTGTTTTACAGATGAGGACACCAAAACACAAGAGATTAAATAACTTGCCAAAAGTTACTGCTAGTGATTTGCTGAGCTAGGATTCAAACCCAGGCAATCTGGCTGCACAGTTCTGTTCTTAACCACTATGTTATGCTGTTTACCACAGACAATTATCTGGCAGTATTGAGGAAGAAAAAAGAAAAGGCACAAGTAAACTATTTTAGGAATGAAAAACTAATTACAGATCCAACAGATATTTAAAAAATAATAATTTATTCTTTATAAAATAAGAATATTAAAAATCCTCCATAGGATGTAAACAAGACCCAGAATCTGATTGTATAATATTGAAAATGTCCAGGATACAATTAAAAAAATTACTTGGCATACAGAGAACCTGGAAAAATCTCAGCTTGCATGAGAAGAAACCATCAGCAGATGCCAATTCCAAGATGACACAGATGCTGAAATTATCTGACAAAGACTTAAAAGGCTCTGGTGTTAAAATGTTTCAGCAAGTAAGGGTGAACACTGTTGAAATGAATGGAAAGATAGAAATTCTCAGCAAAAAAATAGAAGATACGAAAAGAACCAAGTAAAAATACTAGAACTGAGAAATACAGTAACAAGTAAACTGGATGGGTTCAATAGCAAATTGAGACAAGAGATGAAAGATTCCATGAACCTGAAGATATGTTCAATAGAGATTATTCAATTTGATCAATAGAAAAGAGATTGGAAAAAAGTAACAAATTCTCAGGGACCTGTGGGACAGTACCAAAAGGTGTAACGTGTGTCATCGTAGTCACAGAAGGAGAGAAAAAAGTATGCTATGGAAAAAAAATTTGAAAAAATAATGGCTGAACATTTCCCAAATTTGGTGAAAGACATAAACATATTAACAGAATAAAGGACCCCCCTCCAAAAAAAAAAAAATTATCATCTCAATAGATACAGAAAAAGCATTTGACAATATCCAGCACCCTTTCATGATAACCTCTCAACAAACTAGGACTAGAAGGAAACTTTCTCAACCTAATAAAGGTCATCTACGAAAATGCACAACTAACATCATACACAGTGAATGTTTCCCCCTAAGATCAGGAACAAGAAGATATCTGCTCTCACCACTTCCTTTTAACATTATACTTGCTGTTCTAGCCAGGCATTTAGGCAAGAAAATGAAATAAAAGGCACACAGATTGGAAGGAAGGAAAAAAAAAAAAAACAATTTGCAGATAACATGATCTTGTATGTATAAAATCCTAAGCAATCTACTAAAACGCTATCAGAACTAATAAAAGAGTTCAGCAAGGTTGCCGGATACATTATCAGTATACAAAAACCCATTGTATTTCTATGCACTAGCAATGAACAATTCAAAAATGAAATTAAGAAAACTTCAATTTATAATGACATCAAAAAGTGTAAAATACTTAGGTGTAAATTTAAATTTGTAAATTTAAATTTAAATTTAACAAAAAAAGTTAAGACTTGTATATTGGAAACTACAAACATTGTTGAAGGAAATTAAAGAAGATGTAAATAAATGGAAAGACATCTCATTTCATTGATGGGAAGATATAATATGGTTAAGACAAATGACCCAGTTAAAAAATAGGCAAAGGATTTGATAGATATTTCTCCAAAGAAAATACACAAATGGCGAATAAGCATATGAAAAGATATTCAACATTATTAATCATGAGGGAAATGAAAACCAAAATCATGAGATACCACTTCAAACCCACTAAGATGCCTAAAATAAAAAAGACAGACAGTAACAAGTGTTGACAATGATGTGGAGAAATTAAAACCCTTATATATTGCTGGTGAGAATGTAAAACTGTGCAGCTGCTGTGGAAAACACGTTGGCAGTTTTTCAAAATGCTAACCATAGAGTTTCCATATGACTCAGCAATTTCACTTGTAGATATATACCCAAGAGAAATGAAAACAAAAACTTGTACATGCATGTTCATAACAGCATTATTCATAATAGCCAAAAAGTCAACCCAAATATCCATCAAGTGATGAATGGATAAACAAAATGTGGTATATTCATACAGTGGAATGTTATTTAGCAATAAGAATGCTAGAACATGGACGAACCTTGAAAATAATAAGCTAAATGAAAGAAGCCAGTCACAAAAGACCACATATTGTATGATTCCATTTATATGAAATGTCCGAATAGACAGATTTATAGAGAAAGTAGATGAGTGCTTAGGACTGGGGGAGAGGATAAAGGAATGAGGATTGACTGCTAATGGATACTGGGGTTTTTTTTTCAGAGAGGGGACAAAAATATTCTAAAATTAGATTGTGGTGATGGTTACACAACCCTATGAATATACTAAAAACATTGAATTGTACAGTTAAATGGATTAATTGTATATGTGAAATTTTATCTCAGTAAAGCTGTTTTTTAAAAAAGGCAGAAACTGGTCACACGAATAGACATATGCACACCCATGTTCACTGCAGCATTGTTCACAATAGCAAAAAGATGGAA